TAGGAGTGGGATTGCTGGATCATACGGCAGATCTATGTTTAGTTTTTTTAAGAAGCCTCCATATTGCTTTCCAAAGTGGTTGTACTAGCTTGCATTCCCACAGCAGTGTATGAGGGTTCATTTTTCCCCACATCCTCACCAACATTTGTTGTTGGTGGTGTTTCTAATGATGGCTATTCTAACAGGGGTGAGGTGGAATCTTAGTGTGGTTTTGATTTACATTTCCTTTATGGCCAGAGATGGTAAGAATTTTTTCATGTGTTTTTTGGCCATTTGGATTTCTTCTTTTGAAAAAGTTCTGTTTATTTTCTGCTGCCCATTTCTTTATTGGTTCATTGATTTTGGGAAGGTTTAGTTTTTTGAGCTCCCTGTATATCCTGGTTATCAGTCTTTGTCTTATGTATAGCTAGCAAATATTTTCTCCCACTCTGGGTGATCTCTTCAGTTTAGACACCATTTCTTTTGTTGAGCAGAAGCTTTTTAGTTTTATGAGGTCCCATTTGTCTATACTTTTTCTTAGTTGCTGAGCTGCTGGGGTTCCATTCAGGAAGTCCTTGTCTATACCTATTAATTCCAAAGTGTTTCCTATTCTTTCCTGTACCAACTTTAGAGTTTGGGGTCTGATATTAAGATCCTTGATCCATTTTGAGTTGATACCAGTACAGGGTGATAAGCATGGATTTACTTTCAGTTTTCTGCAGGCAGATAACCACGTTTCCCAGCAACATTTGTTGAAGAGGCTGTTTATTTTCCATCATGTTTTTCACACCTTTGTCAAAAAATAAGGTGGGCATAGTTGTGTGGCTTCATATCTGGATCCTCTATTCTGTTCCACTGGTCTTCATATCTGCTTTTGTGCCAGTACAATGCTGTTTTTATTGCTATTGCTCTATAATATAGTTTGAAGTTGGGTATTGTGATACCTCCAGCTTTACTCTTTTTGCTGAGTATTGTGTTGGCAATTTGTGGTCCCTTGTGTTTCCAAATGAACTTTCAGATAGATTTTTCAATCTCTGTGATGAATCTCATTAGGATTTTGATGGGAATTGCATTAAACATGTAGATTATTTTTGATAGTATAGCCATTTTTACTATATTGATTCTACCAATCCATGAGCACGGGAGATCTTTCCACCTTCTGTAGTCTTCCTCAATCTCTTTCTTCAGAGGTTTGTAGTTCTCCTTGTAGAGGTCATTCACATTCTTTGTTAACTTTACTCCTAGGTATTTGGGGTTTTTTGAGGCCTGGACTTTTCTTTTTGGGGAGACTCTTGATTGCTGCTTCAATTTCATTTTGTGTTATACGTCTATTCAGGTGATTAATTTCCTCTTGGTTCAGTTTTGGATGATCATATGTATCTAGAAATCTGTCCATTTCTTTTAGATTTTCAAATTTATTTGAATATAGGTTCTCAAAGTAGTCTCTGATGATTTCCTGGACTTCCATGGTGTTTGTTGTTATCTCCCCTTTTGCATTCCTGATTCTACTAATTTGGGTTTTTTCTCTCCTCATTTTAGTCAGGTTTGCCAGGGGTCTATCGATCTTGTTTATTTTTTCAAAGAACCAACTTTTTGTTTCATTAATTCTTTGTATGGTTTGGGCTGTAATGGACATGTGCATGGAAGCAATGCTAGGAATCTCTTTATATAGCTATCCTTTTCTCAAACTAGCAAAAAAATGCTATATCTTTCTTATTATTGCTTATGTCTTCTCTTCAACAAAATTGGAGAAGAGGGCAGAACAGGTTCTGCCTAGAAGTGAGGGGGGTAGGGGGAAAGAAAGGGGAGGGCAGGCAGGAGAAATGGCTCAAACAAAGTGTGCACATATGAATAAATGAATTAAAAAAAAAAGAAAAGCTCTAAAAAGCTTTCCCATGTCTTGGTTCAGTTGTATAAATGTGCTATGAATTATTAATAATCTTTAACACTGGTTGCTCAGCATTGTATCTAATTAGCATACTGCTCAGAAAATATGCAGTAAATATGAATAGATTTATATGATCACAGATTTAAAATTTATTATTAAAATCTCAGCCTTCGTACGATGGTCATTGTGTGTATGTTTACAATTTTATAAAGAAGATCGAGAGGAGCTTTGACTTAAGGTAAATCATTGCCCTGACTTGTTGGCCTAATAGGTTGCTGAGAAAAGATAACATAAGATAACATTTGTTATCAAAAGTTTTGAATACAGATCCTAAAGCTGGTGATTCTGAGGAAACCAGAGGAGTAATATATTCCTTTCTGGTGATGATTGATTATATCCTTTAAAAACCCTGACAAAGCCTTTACCTACCTTGACATTTAAGGATCATGTTACCCCAGTGATTGTTAGTTTGACTTCTGCAATAATGGCAGGTCTGCCACCCTGCAATCCCAAGGAACATTCCAGTCTGAGTTAACTACTGTTTATGCTTTGCTTTCCTGTTGATTTGATTATGGCAAATAGGAGAGGCTGCCTGCCTGCTCTGCTCTTGACTGGGCTTCATTGAGAATCACCTGCAGTGCATGTTTCCATAGCATGGCTATAATGTACCTTTGGTCACATTTGTGAGCATGGGCTTCAGAATCACAGACACTTTAAGGTCTTATTCAGATTTGATCCTTTACTGGCAAAGTGACTTTGAATAAGTTACTTGAGGATTTAACCTCTGTTGCTTCATTTGTAAATGATATTTTGTTGTGTTGAGATCAAATGAGACACAGTATCTGTAAGACACTTAGCACATACTAAGAACTAAATAAGTGGAAGTGGTTATTTCTGTTTTCCTGTGCTTACTCTAAAGACAGTTCTTCTGAAATGATTGCATCTATAATAACTGTTCTCTTAATAATAACTATAACATAGATTTTATTATAATAGGACATAATGACTGCTATCTCCAGGGGCAAACATGAACTAACTAATCCTTATACTTCTTTCCAAGATTATCTTTATATGTTTGGAGAACGTGATTTTGATTTTTTTGTTTTTTCATATTCAATAGCAAATCACTCATTCCCTCATAACTTGACTATGAAAAATTATGTAGCAATTAAAGGAGTCTCCTCTTCCTCTTTCACTTTGAGGTGGTTAGGAAATAAGGCCTCTGAAGAGAATTCTATAACTAAAAGATAAAAATCGGTATCACTATCTCTCACTCTTCATTTAATAGTCACTAGGAATAAGGCAATATATAAGGTCATGTGGTTATGGTTATAATTCTACAAAGGGTCAGCTAAATTATCACTCACACTGAGCAATATAGATTTATCCTTTGTACATAAGGAAACACTTTTAATTTTAAATCTAAGCAACCAGAAATCTCAAAAATACATTTTAATAAATAACAATGAGAATTCATACCCAAAGTATAGATCTACATGGTCCTAAATTACCATATGAATAATAAGAATAAAATTAAATCTAATTTAAGTTTAGGGTCAAATGGATTTTATTATATTTTGGTTCTTGGTATATTGTTAATCCACATATGATTTGTATATCATGACACATCAGTTAACAAATATATTTCATTGTGATAGCTTCATTTCTCAATTATATTGACCAAATAAGAATTTCCGCAGGATGTCCTATAAGTTTCTGGGTGAATCAACATTTTGGGACTGGCTATTTTACACAACAGACTTATCCCTGCATTGTACCAAACAGGGCATCTCATAAACCTTTTGGCATGTTTTTTTCTGTTTGAGAATTATTTTATTATACTATAGAAACATATATAATCCTAAGTCTAGAATCTCCTCATCTCTTTAAGAGTTGCCTCCCCCATGCGGCAGTAACCACTGTCCTGATTTCTACCCCCATGCATGTTGAACCCCACTTTAGTCTCTACCTCAACAAAGAATAGAAAATGTTATAACGTGGGCCACCAGATGGCACTCTAACAGCAGTGATACTCTTGAACAGGAAAGCAAAGTAACACTTGTGAAATGTATAGACAGAACACAACAGATTATATGAGCATACATTTCTATCGTTGAGCGAATGTAAGCACCAAAAGGTTGACTGTAGATGTGAATTCCATATGCTAAATTTCCTTTGCCTATTGATTTCTTTTCTGAAATCAAGGATGAACTGTTTTCTCAAATTAATAAAAGTTGATGTGGGAGATGTAATAAATTATCATGTAGCAGAGTAACAAATCTTTTAGATTGACATATTTAAAAGAAAATTCTATTTTGACATTTTAATAAAAGTGTTGAAATGTCAAAACTTGAATGTTGTGTGGTTAGGATTAATTTCATGTTTGGTGCAACATTGTACAAGTCTAGAGAAATAAATGACATTTTAACTGCACCAAATTCATGGGCTGAAAATCACCAAGATGTAATTCCCTTGAGTTGTTCTGAAATGAATCCTAATGCTCACTAGATGCTGATGGGTTTTAGAAATAAGGAGTCTGAGCCAAAAGAAAGGAGGAGAAGCAAACACAGCAGAGGCAGCAATGAAAGCATGCCAGCAAATGAACAACACAGCAGCAGATTCTGCAAGCCCAGAGAAGCAAGAAGCAATGGAAATACACATCGATGAAAATTTTTGGGAAGAGGGGGGCCAGAAAGGGATAAAAGGATATGGAAATTCTGTGAAAAGAGTCCTTAGCGATACAATGACTTGTCTTTTTAAGGTATGAATTTCCATACAAGGAACATATGCCTGAATGAAAACCAAATTTATTTTGTAATGAAATGAGCATTTTTGAAAAAGCTATGGCATTTACCTAAACATCAATGGCTATCAAATACTTCTTCTTCAAGGTCTGATTTACAGCTGTCTCTTAAATCAAAGCAAAATTCCTAATAACGGGGTCACAGGTCTCCCACTATCTGGCTGTCTGCCCTTGTCTAACTATTCTCATCTGTCACGAAGCTCCATTTCCTATTTTAGCCAGGCAAGTGTGCTTGCTGTCCTGTGTACATGCTTCACCTCTCTACTTGTGCTCTGTTATCATAAAAAATGATGAATTTCCTTTCTATAGTACAGGATCATTGCTGTGAAGACCCGTTCACATCTCTCAATCCACATTTCTAACCCTGCCTCCCCGCCTTGCATCCAGGTAGGACTATGTGACAAGTTCTTGCCAATGGAATATGATCTGAAATGATGTGTGTCATTTCTTGGCCAAGATGAGTAAGAAGTGGTGGTACTTTCTATCTTATCTGCAAGCTGGATGTTGTCAAACAGATGATCACAGAGGCTACACGTGGAAGGTGGTAGAGCCTCCCACGTTAAGGCTCCAAATGACAGCATGGAGCACAGCCTTCCTCACCAACTCATCTTACCTTCCACTCCTGCCACCCAACCAGGAACATTTGTTCTGGATTTCATATGAGTAAGACATAAACTTCTCTCTCTATATGCTTAGTGGAATATGGATAGTTAGTAGCCTTGCCTTAACTAATTTATTTACAAAAGCTATTTTATTGCCTGGGATGCTTTGTCCATTTAAAAGGAGGACAGAGAATATTTATTGAGTTCTACTATATGCTGGGGATACCATAATGGTAACCTCTCCACGGTAATTTATATATGGTATCATTTTTTAGCTTCCAAACTTCAAGAACTTATTAGTATTGTCTTATTAGTACAACCTGGATGTATGCTACTGAGTAACTCTGGTTAAATGTAGACACCTTTTGATTTTTAACATTTTACATTAGAAGGTTTGGCTGAAGATCTAATTCACTACTGGGAATGGGGTTGAGAAAGCCAAAGATTGATAGGAAAAATATGAGCAATATCATATAGTGTTCTAGAATACTTAAGAATGACTGTAGCTTTGGGTTGCATAAGGCAATAATAGAGAAAGATGGAACTCATAGACTGGGTAGACTTCACAAAGAGTAATATTGAACACCAAGCTTAGAAATTGGAATCTTAGCCCATAGGCAATGGCGGGTGGTGATATTGTTAAATCTTTTGAGCAGCCAAGTGACATGAATCATTGCTTTAAGAAGATCTATTTGGTGATCACTTCATATATAACCAATTTACAACTTAACTTTTAGAAAAGATTTTTTTAAATTGTGATGGGACTACTCTTTGCCTCCTAGTGTGTTTGACTGCATATTTTGTCTTACCAACCAGATGCCTCTAGCCATCCTCCCTTCACTCCCCCCTGAAATCAGGATAACCCAAAGAATCTTCAGACAGTATCAAGCATCCAGCAAGGAGTAAAATCATTCCTGCTTAAGATCCACTGTTTGGGAGATGCAAACAGTGCACAGTGATACTGTCTTCAGTTGTTCCTGCTTGGAAATACATCACTGACCCCTTGTCTTCACTCAGGATGTGAGAAGCCCCTGTGGGCAGAGATCCTTGTGCTTAATTGGACTAGGTCATGAAGAAGAAACCAGGGATTCTCTTGGCTTCTTGTTCAGTGTGGTAATTTGCATTTCACAGTTCAGTATGGGCCTATTATAGATAGGAAGAAACTTGGAGCTTTGACATCATAGGCATCTAGGATACCACTGGAGTCTGCCTTGAGTGTCTGTGTGTCAGCTGAGGGAGCAAAGGAGGATCAGAATGCTGTGGCCAGGTAGAAAAAGGGCAAAGAAGCTAGGGAGTGTGTGAAAAGGCTGGAGATGTTTGTAATATGCATAAGTGTCTGAGAATTGCTTAAGGAATAGGAAGACAGGGTATTGGAGGACAGTGTGCATGGGGAGAAGAGCAGGTGGTGAGTCTGTCAGGACCCGGAAGGGTTCCTGACAATCAAAGAAGCTGAGACTTCCTCTTGCAACACTAGAGAGAGGTGGGCATTGCTGGGCAGGGCAGAGTGTCTGTCTTCATCATAGTTTAGCTCTAGAGGGAAATGGAAGAAAGTAGAGGAAGTGAGATTAGAGAGGAAGTTGTTTTTAAAAATTCTGATCAGTGGTGGAAGACTGAACAAAGACATTGAGCATGGAGTAAAGAAGGGGACTGGAGAGATTTGGTAAAGGCAAAGGTGTTCCTAAGAACAATAGCATCGATAAAACGATGATCACATTGAAATATGGAAATAAGATTTTGGTTTTTTGATATGTTTGACATAAAAGATTTTGTTTTTTACACAGGGTTGCACCAGAAAAATTTTTCAAGCAGAAGTTGAAATTTTTACTTCTTTCTTCTTTTTCAAGAAAGAAGACTATTTTGTAGTCCCTTTCTACCTCCATGTGTTTTAAATTTTGCATTTTTCTCTTGTGTGTATAGATACTTTTAAAAAAAATCAATGTACAAAACGTATTTCCATGATGTGATTCTAAAAGTAGAATCTTCATGTTGAGTAAAAACCAATAGAGATTATATTTGGAAGGGATTTGGTGTTTCCCAAATCCTTCTACTATTTTCCGCCCTGTGCCTCCAACATGGACACAATGCCAAGTCTCTGTTCCACAAAGGTATTCACCCCTCATGAATGAACACAGGCAAAGGAGAACTAAAGCAGTATAATATCTAAATTTAAATAAAAAAGAGCTATTCTTTTGCTCTCCTTTTTTGGGGTCAACATCATCTATATTAAAAATTAATTTTGGTCTGTGTACAGCTATCTTCAAGAAAAGGTAGCTAGTAAGAAGTCCGTAATTGGAAAATTTCAACAGGCAATGACATATACATTAACCTTTCCCTGGGACATCTACAGGAGTGAGATGTCTCTGAATTATTAGGATTCTGTTCCACCACTGGAAAATTCCATCACTCCCAATAACTTTCCAGACTGTCTCCTTTGAGTCCAATGTTACTATAAAGTGTCAATTATAAAATTGCAAACAATGGGCTCACAAGACCTGGAAGAATTCCAAATCATTCTGTGGGCTTATCAAGCCATTTTCTGAACAATAAAAGAAATGTGGAAAATGCAGCAGCTTTTAAAAAGAGCATTGTTGGGCTGCTTTCTGGGCAGTGTGTTTTGATATACTTGTAAATTCATAAACTCAGGGCATCTTGGGTTAGAAGAAGTCTTATGGGACCACTTAAATTTGCCATTTTCTCTCTTTCTCTTTATATAGACAGATATATTTAAGTGAACAATTAAAAATTTTACCTCATGCAAGGTACTGGGATAAAGAATAAAGTTCCCATATATTGAGAATTTACCATGAAGCTGATGCTGTGCTATATACTTCACAATTTATCCTCTCACTCTTGTATAAATCCCAAGGAGGTAGATATTATGGTCTGCATTTACAGATGGAATTTATTGTAAGGGAAGTGATGTATTAACCTGGAGATATCCAGGTTGGAACCTGTATTCTTTCTTGGCTCCATATCTCATCACTGGGAGGTGGGCCTCCAGAGCTTTTAATTTAGTTCACACTAAAGGGGGAAATAAAACAACAGTCGAAAAATGAACATTACAGGTGACAAAATACATATGGATTGTCCCAAGAAGGTTCATGATTTATTTCCAAATGACTCATGCAGACAGGAAGTACTACAGCAGTTCAAGGACTCTTTACATCGAGAAGTACACTTAGATCAACAAGTAATTTTTTTTTTCATTTACCCTGTGGAAGGTGCTTGGAGTAGTGTGACACTGCCAGAATAAAGTCACCGGGTACTGAGTCACTGCCTGGAGTGGGGGGCGAAGCGTATTCAGAACATGTAGGAGGTGAAGTAGGAAGTGTGATTTAGAGTGGATCTGGGTAGTGTCTGTGCTTCAGGGCATGTGAGGTAGAGGGAATGAGATGCAAAAATGTGCAGAGGTGGACGAATAACGCTGGTCAGTAGGGCATCAGTATGCCAGCGTGAGCTGGTACAAAGTTCACATAAAGTGGGGTAAGAGCCAAGGCCCAGTAGGTGTTTGTAACTATGAATTGGCAAGTTTTGACTATGTTGAAACAATGATGAATATCAAAGCTTTTTTTTTCTTTTTTCTTTTTTTTTAAGCAGAAGCATGAGCAAATTATCCACCCAAGTGGTCAAGGAACTTATTTATAGAAAATATAAATATATTACTTGGGAAAAGTGCTGATTCTGATCTAACTATGGATCTGATAGTTCCATTGGAGAAATCTGTAATGATGACTTTAATTTATGTTTGATAAGCTGGGCTTTGGAGAACTCATTTCTAGGTAACACACCCTGTTGCCTATCACTTAATCCCCGCCATCCTATCCTCCTATCCAAATTAAGAAGTAGCAGGCCTGGGGAGTGTTTATCAAAACTCTGAGGACATATCCTTTCAGGATAATGCTTAAAGAGGGTAAGGCTAGATGGAGGCTTGTGCTGTCATAACAAAATACCACAGACAAGGTGGCTTCAAGTACAAGATTTATTCCTCATAGTTCTGGAAGCTAGAAAGTCCAAGATCAAGGTGCCAGCAGAGCTGGTTTCTGGTAGGGGCTCCTTTCCTGACTTGCAGACAGCTGCCTTCTCACAGTGTCTTCACATGACAAAGAAAGAAAGATCAAGATCTCTGTCTTCTTCTTATAAGGCCATACGGCCCTATGACCTCATTTAACCTAATTATCTCATACCACACCTGCAGATACAGTCACACTGGGACTTAGGGATCAATCTATGAATATGAGGAGACAAAACTTGGTTCATAGCTAGGGGTTAGGTGCAGCCACCGAGTCAATCAAACATTGGAAAATTTTCATTAACTCAGGATTTTGGAAACTATCTGGAACTGGAAAGCCATCACCTTAGCAAGTAAGGAGGTAATGTTTTCTATCACAATCCCTTGATATTTGCAATTTGCCCTAATTGCAAAAACTTATAAAGAACTATTCTTCTTGTGTGGTAAAATTATGTAAATCATGATATGCAATTAATGAATTCTTTTGGATAAATGTATTACAGCTACATGGAATAAAGTAGGTAGCCAAACACATATTTTGCTAATAATAGTTTCCATTTAATTGATCAGTGGGTATGTGTTAAGGTTTTACTTTTGTTATCTATGAATCATCAATATAAATTGATAATTTTAACACCACTATATCACAGATAAGAAAAACTGAAACTCAGACAATTTAGGCAATAACAAAGCCCAACCAAATTTCAAACTCAGGCTTGACTGATTCAAAAGCCCAGAACTTCCCATGTACTACTTTCTTGATATTTTCTATTCTTGATATTTTATTGTCTTGTACTGCAATTAATGATGATACAGATAAGTATGTTACTTTCAGACAAGATCAGGTGTGTTCAGGGTGGTATGGCCGTAAACGAGTATGTCACTTTCAAAAATCAGAATCTTTTTTAATTTTTTTTATTGTTTTATTATTCATATGTGCATACAAGGCTTGGGTCATTTCTCCTCCTTGCCCCCACCCCCTCCCTTACCACCCACTCTGCCCCCTCCCTCTCCCCCCAACCCCTTGATGCCTGGCAGAAACTGTTTTGCCCTTATCTCTAATTTTGTTGTAGAGAGAGTATAAGCAATAATAGGAAGGAACAAGGGTTTTTGCTAGTTGAGATAAGGATAGCTATACAGGGAGTTGACTCACATTAATTTCCTGTGTGTGTGTGTTACCTTCTAGGTTAATTCTTCTTGAACTAATTTTTTCTCTAGTTCCTGGTCCCCTTCTCCTATTGGCCTCAGTTGCTTTAAAGTATCTGCTTTAGTTTCTCTGCGTTGAGGGCAACAAATGCTAACTTTTTAGGTGTCTTACCTATCCTCACCCCTCCCTTGTGTGCTCTCGCTTTTATCATGTGCTCAAAGTCCAATCCCTTTGTTGTGTCAAAAATCAGAATCTTGAAAGAATGGAGAAAAAGAACCATCAGCATCACCCAGAGATTAAAAAAAAAAAACCCACAAATATGCACATAACCAGAGCCTTGGAACTGGAATGTCTAAGGATGGGGTCTGAGAGTCTGCATTTTATAAAACTGTCTGGGTGAATTTAGTGATTATGAGATTTGGGGCTGCAGAGGGCTGAATGGTGGCTCTCCTTCCTCCAGAAGAGACATCCATGTCCTAATCTCTAGAAACTATAAACATGTCCTTTTTTGGAAAAGGAGTCTTTGTAGATACATTTGAGTTAAGGATCTCAAGATAAGCTCATTTTGGATTGTCCTGGTGGGTCTTACATCAATGACCAGTGTATTATAAGAGGCACAGAGAAGAGAAGGCCATGTGAAGTCAGAGGCAGAGATTAGATTTACACAGTATAGTCCTTGCAACACACTGAGAGCCATCAGAAGCTGGAAGAAGCACTAAAGGCTTCTCTCCTAGAGCCTTCAGAAGAATGTAGCCCTGAAGACATGCTGACCTCTGATTTCTGACTGCTGGTCTCCAGAAATATGAGAGAGTAGACGCCTGTTGTTTAAGCCACCAAGTTTGTGGATTTGCCACAACACCCCTAGGAAACAAATACAGGGACCTGTACAAGTAATTAAGGAAGGAATGAATTGAGGGGAGAGAAAGTGTGAGTGGGAATGACATAAGGTATCTTTTTGCTCCTCAGGAGTTTAAGAGGAATTTGACACAGTTTAGTAGGTCATTTTACCATTGCAAGCTCCATCTACACATCTTTAACCATTTCAAAAATATTGAGCAGATCTTGTAAATTGTATTTACATTAACTGGAGAGGTCATTGACTTATAAACAGTTAAGCCTTTTTGCACACAGTCTTTACATGAGTCCTGAAACCTCAAGAAAGCATTGCAATTTAGTTCCTTCCTAGAGGCTAGTGTTGAGGCTAATATCAACCAGGAAAATACAATTCCATATAGTATAAATACCCAACAAGAGGGTGAGAGTTGACAAAGTAAGGGAAGCAATAAGTACTACTTTTTTTAACTTTGTGCATCCAGAGGTACAAGTGCCATTTTCCTCTGTCAGTAAGCATAGCTCCCAGTGACACTCCCACTCCTTTGGGGGACACATAATGTAAAGCAGACAGGAATGCTTCTATAGATAACATGATAAAAAATACAAGAAGAGAATCTAATACGGTCTTTTTGAAAATGCCAATAATCCTTTTGCCTCTCTAAATGATGTTTAATATTATCTTGTCTTTTAAATGGCCTAGAACTGATACCAATTGTTCTGCACACCATAAAATGAAGAAAAGCATGTGAGTATTTATTTTTTTTTGCTAATCAGGAAAATATTTAACATTATGTTGAGATAATCCAACATGTTATTGCCTCTGTGTTTCCTAGATTCTTGCTGTAGAAAAGGCCCTTCGAAATTATGCTTATACATTGTCTTAAAAGTTTATTAATTTAATTTCCCAAATTTATATTCTAGCTCCAACATCTTTCCTAAACTCCGGACTGAAACCCTTCAAATTCCATAGAAGGTCACTTGACATCTCTACTGGGATGAATAATCAAGCAAAGACTTTTGGTTTCTTTTGTCAAACTTGTCTCTTGTCTGGTGTTCTTTATCTTAGTTAATGGTAGTGCCAGTTGCCAACAGTTCAAGCCGGAAACTGGGGAGGCTTGCTTTCTTTTTCTGGCAAACACCTTACCTGAAATCTACATTAGATATCATTGGTACAACCTTCCACAAATACCCTGAATCCTACCACTTCTCTCCCACTCTGTCTGCTCCACCATCTGTAACCTACATTATGACCATTAGAGTTTTAATGGTCTCCCTGTTTCTACTTTGTTGCCTCTCCCAATTTATTATTCACCTAGCAATCAGAGATTTAAAATATAAACATCCTGATGACTTCTAGATTATTTAGAACATAGTTAACAGCTGAAATAAAGACCCTAAGTAACTGCAGGTTTAACAAGATAGAAGGGCTGTAAGTCATGTGTCATGGGCCAGGAACCAGGCTATTCCTATTTTACTGTTGTACCATGTATAGAGCATAGCCTTCATTGGTTCAAGATGGCTCAACCTGATCATATCTGCTTTCAGGCCAATGGGAAGGGCAAAGATACAAGTTTATTAATGTCTTTTCCCATAATGCTTCAATCTTAAAAATGCACACCTCATTTCCACTCATATTCTAGTGGCCAGAAATCAGTTGTGTTGCTACCCTTCACTGTAAGGGAGGCCTAGAAATAGAATCTTTTTCTCACATAATCGTGTGCTAAGTGGGAAATTGAGGGTTCTAGTACAGTAGCAGAAAGGGGAGAATGAATGCTGGGAGTGTTGTGGTAGATTCAGTCATGGTGGAAGTGCAAACATGTTCTAGATCAACAAAATGGAAGTTAATTTGGTCTCATGTAGCACTTAGGAGGTGAGTGAACTGGTAGTTGGTTGCCTGGAATTTCCTCAATATGGTCATGAGAGTTCCAAGTGATGGAGACTCTGCTACCTTCAACACATAGTTGAAAGTTGGTCTTGAGATTTCCATCCCTGAGAGCAAGTAAAGAGAAAAAGCATAGAGGTGGGTGGGTGAATATTCTTATCATGCAGTCTTCCATGCAGTGTATACACTTCCGCTCACATTCTATTGACTCACTCTTAGTTATCTGATCACATCTAAGGGCAATGTATTCTATGAAATTTGGTGTGGTTTTGTTCCCAGGAAAAAGAGAAAAACATCAGTTTGGATGAACATTTCACAAGCTTCTCATGCCACACAGAATAAACTCAAGGTCTCTACCACAATTTAAAGCCTTAGAAAGTCTGGCCCATGGATGCAGCTCTAAAGTTTCTTCAGACTTTTCTTTGCTTATTTCAGTCCTGCTTCCCTGCATGTTTTCTATTCCTGGAACTTACCAACTTTGTTTTCATCCCAGAGCCTTTGCAACTGCTGTGTATTCTGTCTGGAACCCTTTCCCCCAGATTTTCTCACACATAATCCCCCACGTCGATGAATTCTCTACTTAAAAGCTATTTCTTCAGAAATACCATCCATACACACCATTTTTTACACCTTCCATATTATCTTTGACTATTCCTCATCACTGTCAAATCTCTTACACGTTTCAATTTTCTTAATAGAATCTACCACTTCTTCATCTGTAAGCCATGTGATGACTCTAATTGCCTAGAAAAATTGTCATAGGAGGCACACAATAAATACCTGCTGAGTGTAATTTAGTAGGGTAAAAACTCTCTTGGTTACACATAAAATTTGATTACCATAGCATTCTGTGAACCAATATCTTTCCACTCTTACAGACTCTCTGGAAGAATTTTTCCCAGATACCTGATATTTGCATTCCTTATTTGTAGAATGGGGGTAATTATGCACCTATTTCCTAGAATTATCATCCAGGTGGTAGGAGACAATATATGTAATAATACGTTGAGCACAGAGTGTGGCACATGGGTAAGTGCATACCTAACAGGTGTGAGCTGTGATGGCTGCTGTCCTCTAGAGAAATAATTACAAATACAAAAGAGGGAATCTCTCAATTATTAACATATTTCTAAAAATTAAAGGTATAAAATTCTATGTCTAAATTGAGAAGGAGAAATAAAGGATCTATGGTATAGCTATCTGCTACCCCTATGGTGAAGTGAAAAATGGAGACTTTCTGAATTGCCTTTCATTTGTGCAGGTTGTTATTTTATAAGGAAATATCTAGACTCTAAACCTCTGCAATGCTGGTATGATTGCCATAATCCAACAGTTTAGAATATTACAGTCATCCTTCCAACATGATGTATTAAACAGAAAGCAGGACAAAATCCTTCTGGTAACAGCATGTACTGTGTCTAATGCATTATTGAATACAACAGGGATTTCCATCTGGTTTCTACTTTCAAATTAAGAACACATTCAATCATACAGTTGACAAATTACATTTCCTAAATTCCAGTTGACAGACCTATTAAAGGTGATATAGTTATGCTAATCTAGAGAATTCTAGATTCTAGAGAATTTTTGTGAAAAGCTATGAACAAAAGAGTCCATGTGCACAAAATCAACCAAGAAATGATTACCAAGTAGAGCCTGAGAATTTTTAGCTAGTAAGATGTTGAAGTAATTGCTTTTTGAATAAAAATCTATTCTATCTGCCTTTGCAGTGATAATTTATAAAACAAGCTCTCCTTTGAGATTTTAGTATAAATATTCCATTCTGTAACATTATAAAATACCTTCATAAGTTCAGTATTGAGTTATCAACAGACAGGGTGAGTGATGTGGCTCCACTGCTTGCTTTGGAACTGTTATTTTTCCTTCTTAGATCTAGACAAAAAAGGTTAAAAGTTCTATATATGATGCCTTACAGGCACAGCATACATCTTCTGGAAGGAGTTGGATTTTTGACAATGAGTGAAATGCAATTCCTATGAAATTATAGAACACGAAAAACAATAGCTCTTTGCCCTGTGCCCACCTCTCACCACACACAAGTTTCAGGACTTCTCTTGCCCCCATCCCTACTTGGTACTCATTACATTGGTTCCCAGACTCTTCTACTTCCAGCTGACTGCTCATTGGGAAATGTAGTCTCTGAATGGAAATAGAAATAAAACTGCTGATGAGGAAGGAAAGAGAGGTTATGATGTTGATTGACTCAGTGGAGGATAGCACCTACATTTCTGGTCAATGCCACCCCTTGTCTTGGAGTTAAGGGCAGGCAATGAGGGAGAGTCAAAGCCTTCCTCTTGCTTTGGGAATGTTCTGGCTGTTCTTATTCAAAGGGGAGTGTCTGTACTATCTAGCATTATGGTTCTCAATGACTCTCCACTTCCAATGCAGTCAGTGGAAAGTCTGTCTGAACTTCAACATATCTTCTTCTCTCATATTTAGTCATACTGGTGCCAGTTCTTATCTTTTAATGTATTCTCATGGGTACCATAATAGGAAATTAAAAGGAAGCCTGTTAGGTGTTGCTAATTTGTTGCCTTGTTAACTTGAAAGTTTATCTATGTTATTTGATTTTGCCCATTATTAAGAATGATCAATTAAGCAGAGTAATTGGATCTGGCCGAATGAATGAACATAATGCTCCAAGGACTCATCTTGAGTGCATAGTCTCTTTGGCTATTAGAGACGGAGAGGAAATGAGACATTATCTAGTCTAAACCCTCACTTTACCTGAGGAATCTGATGGCTAGAAAGAATTTCTGATGTTCCAAGGACAAAGCCAGTTGGGGCTTGAGTGATGAGCAGTTACCCCACATCAATGGGCTAATTTATTCTTTATCTTTTATTTGTTATAATTGGAAATGGATGCAAAGAGAGGGAGAAGGGTGGGAAAAATCTCAAGTATTTATTATGGGTCAGGTCCATGCCAGATACATTTCATATATATCTTCTATTTTAATCTTTACACAGTCTATTGAATGTATACATTGCTATCCACATAATACCAGAAAAGGATTTTATTTTTAGTAAGATAAGGAATTTTTTATTTCTAAGGCCAGACTGTATTTCTATCTGCCATAACTTCTGTTAATAATGAGGTAGATGGGAGAATGAATTAGTAATTGGATAGTCACTTTGGGAAGACCAGGGTGAATGAAAAAAAGGGAGGATATTTTATTAGGAGATGAGGCTCTGTGAATTACAAAGCATACTACTCTATCCTGGGTTTCCCTTTCCTGTGGTTCACAATGACTAACTAGTTTGGTGCATGTGGTTTTTATTCAATGGAGTAAGTCAAATTGACTAGGTTTTCCCTTGTAGTCCTGTCTCCAGACCTCACACCAAACCCCAAATGGAGTTTTGGTTGTTGTCAAAATTTCTCAAGGAACACTCACAATCTCTAGATTTATCTCCATCATGACTAATGCCATCTGTTTAACGTAAATGTAACCACTTTTCCCTTCTGAAGGGTAGCCTTGCTTATTTTCTTTCCAAAATTTTATTTATCACTCTCATGTATTTACCACCAGATATTGTGACAATGTAATTGAATGATGGGATGAATTAAAGTCATGTCTGCTGTGTTAAACATGGAACCATGACTCTAGAAGAGAGCTTGGGCAGCCATCTTGGCTCATACTTTCCTATGGCTGAGTGGGTGTCTTAGATCAGGAACCTCCAGAGTGTACCTCTTCTTTTCTTAATTAGAAACAATGTACAAGAATTGCTTTGAGATTCATTTCAGCTGACATTTTAAAAAGTAGTGATTGTAATCTCCCTAGTTTATTTCCCCTTCACTAGATTTTTTTCTGGGAGAGATGATCAGAAGGAAGGGAGTATCCCAG